TAAAGAAATTATTTCATATTTGAATGGATTAACCAATTTTAAATAAATGAAACATTTTAACTAACTAAAATTAAATCCGTTTATTCAATTTGAGGGAAGGAGTTAAAGAACAGATTTAAACTTTAGAATATAACCTCTTTCAGATAGGCCAGCATATTTGGTGTTGGTTCATGAAAATCTGGTCCCCTATAATCAATCACTTCTTTGGATCTTGAATATAGTTCACATTTGGGTAAACTGGATCTCCACCCCATACTGCAAAGACCAACAGAGTTGTTAAATGTAAGCACTTAATATAAAACAAGAGAATCGTCTTAATAGTTTTAGCAGGCAGAAGGAGCAAATAGGAAGGCAAATCACTAGATCAATATTGTTACAACTACCTTAAAAATTGACAACAATATTTGTGGTTAACTTAGATGTCGTCAATCCCAGAATTTCATGCCTACACAGAGAGGGGAAGAAACACGAAATTCAAATTTTGACCTAAGTTATAAATGCAAATCCATGATTGAGAGAGCAAGAGAAGAAAAGAAAGGAAAATTTCATCTTTCATGCTAGATCATAAGAGAATACACATGGGTCCAAATACTAACTTGTATACTAATATACATTGATATGCATCATAATTCTAACCAGGAAAGTAAAATTTTACAAGCTATATAGAGCTGCCGGTGTTTCAGAAAGTATAATAACTATAATCTGCCTGACAACAAATGAAAAGCATAGGCATTAAAAAAAATTTATCAGTAAGAAATACATACTTTGCTTTATTTGATCCTCTCTCATTCGCATTGCTAAAGGATCCCTTCGAATACGGGTATCAGTCCCCATCATAATCCTATATTCTTGATCTGTTTGATTACAAAACATTTCAATCAGTTGAGCATTTTCATCTTCACCAGCCTCTTCAAAATGTTTCTGAATAACTTCAAGTGAAGTATCTCTCTTCCATGCTTTCACCCATTCAGAGTTGTATGCCATTTTGCCAGTTCTTTCTAGTCTCTCTTGTTCAGCTTTCAGTCTGCAAAAACCAGCACCTAGCTAAGTACAAAAGGTTCTTTTTAAAGACATACAGTCCAAATCAAGTAATTTCCAATAGTTAATCAGGATGCAAGTTTTAGGCAATACAAATACATGTAGGAGAAAAAGCAGGGCTAGCAAAACTGAAATTCAGATATTTATCACTAGTTTATTAGCCCATTTCAAACTTTCCTGATGAATAATCATTTTAATATTGAAAAATAAGTATTTATTAATTCTTGATTAACAAAGCCTGCTCCTTTTTGCACCACTTTTACCTATTTAACTTCCATACATCTTATCATTATTCACTTTCATTTGATTTACATTCGATATCTCCTTATCCTACTGTTTCAGTCCTTTAGACTTCGATAGGAGAGAGAACGAAAGATAGGAAGTGAAAAATTCTAAAGCATCATATATGGTTGACACCTTTCTTCCTTGAAAAGATGGCGTCTAGCTCTGTAAAGGGAAGTTTCAGTTAATGTTGGATGTTCACCATAAAGCTTTACTTGCCCAGTCTCAGCCATTGCTTTCAGAAAAACCTACAAAAATAAGAGACAATTTCGGTTGTCATCATAAATAAAGAAAATCACTGCCTCTTCTTTGAGAAGAAACTGAAATGTGCATGAGTGCAGTATGCATATATTTAATCATGGAATGAGGATAATTTAGGTTTCAGCACAAAACTAAGATATTCCACATGGCTTACTTGCACAAGCATCAGAAAGTAATTTGACTTCAGAGAAAAGCAAAGAGATACTGAGCTACCGGGGAAAGGACTCAAACGAGAACATAACGTGGTTTGAAAGTCAATCCATCTCTTTTGACCACAATTCGAGGACATTTACCTCATAGAACACTGCTGAATCACATAAATGAAGATTATCTGGGAATGTGATCTTTACCTGAGTGATCACTGAGGTGGGACCAATTGATCCCAAATTCAAACCTTTCAAAGCACATGTTTGACTGCATGAAAACACATGGAAACCAATTGTTTCTCTCTCTATCTATCTATCTATCTATCTATCTATCTCTATCCCTTCCTCAATAGACACGCCCATAAAAAGAGGTTAAAATATAACAATTACAAAAAAAACTTTTGAGTTCTTGAATAGAGATGAATGCAATTATTGTCAAAGATACACTTAAAAAAAACATTTGCACTAACTGTTTCAACATCAACTCGTCTCATTTGCCATCTAGACCTTTATTCTTTTTCTGGCTTTCTCCAATTCCATCATAGTTCTTTACTAGTAAGTGGTTCCTCCATTGGCTTTTTCACTTTTGGATCAATAAACGGATGAGGGCGTCCAAGTTTCTTGTCCGATTCATATCCAGCTTCATCTTCTTCAGGTTCTGTCTGGTAAATGACATACTCCGGTGAGGAATCTTGAGGATCTTCCATTATGCCCTCAACAATTTCAGGTACCGCAGGCTCACTTGAGAAGATTCACCACCAGCTGATGTTTTTTACTTCTTCCTCCTGCTTCCCGGACTTTTTCCATAAGATGGGGATCCAGCTGAAGTTCCAGTTGGTTAGGAGCCCTGGCAGCCCCAACTCGACTAGCAGTGCCTTCAGTCCGGTACTCCTTTCCTGGAATGCTTGCACGGGCACCAGATGCTAGTTCAAGCTGCCCGGACATTGAGTCCAAATAGTTGTAATATGGAGGACGCTCCGCAGACACATTTTCATACGGTTCCTGTTTCTTCTTACACTTAACACAAGGAAATAAATTAGCCCTCTTGGACTGTTTATCGAAGCCAACTTTAACTTGCAAAATTCCAGCCGACAAAGAACCTATAAATTATGTCTGGATAATTCAAAAAAAAAAAAAAAGAGAAGGGCAATAGTAAATTATGCTAAACAGAAACAAAATGAAGAAATCTTCATCAAACAAAAAGGCGAATTTTGGCCATTTTACTTCCTACCAACTTGTAAAATATGCAGACAAAAGACTAAAAAAAAAAAAAACATACAGAGTTAAGAAAATAGTCCAGTTTTGGAGCTGTTTTGCAACAAAGTGTAAAACTTTTTACTATTTTTACATCATAAACAAATGAAAAAATAAATTAAACAGTAAAGCTCAAAGTTATCAAGCTTTTAAATTTTGATTTCTGGGCTCAAAAACTAAACACATGATTAAAGCAGATTACCAGCCACATTTAGCAGTCATTTGAAAGAATGAATCACTTTTTGACTGAAAAGAAAACCACCTCTCTCATAATTACATGCTTAAAACTCAAGCAAACAAAATAAATATGATAAAATTTCCACACAAAAGGAAAAAAAAACCTGTAAGTAATTGTAGCCTGGTTTGCCAGCAGGTACGCATTTACCTGCCAAAGTCCAAAAAAAAAAAGGGAATTTAATTTAATTAAACATAAAATCATTCTTATATTTTTAACAAAAAAAAAGGACCTTGATACAGAAATTTTACTGATAAAGATAACATTTTCAGTTTAACGTAATATTCGGCATGTAAAATCTGCCAGGAAAATTATTGCTTTAAGAACAGGGAAATTTAATGTGTTTGGGCGCTGAGAAAATGAAGCGGAATCAACTGAGAGAGTGACATAGTTTGGTTTGTTGGGGGTTTAGCTTCTACCAAGAAACAACTTGGACCACGGCTTACGTCTTACCCATATCGCCACGTTACCGTTAGCATACGCTTTTTTTCTTTCTTAATAAAGGCTTTCTTTTTTTTTTTTTTCGGCCATCTTTAAAAACATAATATAGTTGGATTACTTGTTTTAGAGCCAAAAAAAAAAAAAATCGATCAAGCCCAAGGATTTGCCAATGCTCAGTTCAGATATTCTCTACTCTCTCACTAATAATGGAGGTGGCTAAAAAAAAAAAAACTAATTCAAGCAATTGTTTTCGAATGGACACAATTATTATTTTTTGATAATTAAAAAGAACACAATTATTGGATAAGGAATAATTTAATTTTCTTGCCCTCTTATAGTAAAAAGTTAAAGCCCTTACTATTTTTCCTTTGAAAACATTTAGTAACAAAATGAAATATAAAAATATATAAACAAATAAATTTAATGTTATTATATGTAAATTATAATAAAATATTTAATATGATATTTAAATTTAAAATTTTTAATATAATATTTAAATTATTGAATTAATTAATTATTATAATATTTAAAAGATTATTTATATATTATATATTATCAATTAAAATTAAATACATTAATAATAAAAACTATTTTAATTAATATATTTATAATTTAAATATTATATTAAAAATTTTAAAAATTTATATATTATATTAAATATTTTATTATAATTTAAAATTGAAAGACATTAGTTAAAAAATAATAACAAAAAAGCAAGAGAAAAATTTCGAAGTAATACTTTTTTAGGTGACGAAGTGGTCATGACCGCCACCAAAATGTATTTTTCCAAAACCATTTTGCAAAAGTAATAACAAAAATTATTTATCTAGAAGACAGCTCTCACCAAACTAGGGTTGGCACAATTCATCCCAAATTCGATTTGATTTTATACGTTATTAAATTTAAATTTAATTTTACTTAAATTTTTTTTTTTTTTTTATATTTGAATTCAATTTTGATTCCGATTGAAATTAATAAAATATTATTTTTAAATTATAAAATATTATTTTTAAATATAAATATTTAAAAATATTATTATATAAATATATATAAATAAAAAATTAAATAATTAATTAAAAATAATTTTTTATATAATATCAGATCGAATCGAATCAAATTTATCTAAAATTTAAATTTAATTATTTTTTAATATTATCTAATCTGATTTAACTCAAAATTTAAAATTTTTAAAAAATAATCGATCTCGTAAATCGAATTGAGTCAAAGCTTATCGAAAAGGGTTGGATTGACATCCCTGCACCAAACCATTAAAAACCCAAAAAAGAAATAATTTTGCATCACAAAACACTCTTTTTTTTAGGTTGTATAATTAAAAAAAAAAAAAAAAAAAAAGAAAGAGAAAACTTGGATCCACATGACATGCCTATTTTTTAATCCTTATATGTCTTCCACTTCAATAGATTTCCTATAAATTATTCTTCGGGAGTTAAGTCCTTCAACTTTCAATTTCCCCCGTAAGTTTCCATTTCACCCTTACGTTACAGGTTATACGCACTGTACCCATCTCTCTTTTCTTCGCCTTTTTTTTTTTTTGGTATTTCGGAGTCTTATTAAGAGACAAACCAAAGATGTTACATTTTTCTTTACCTTAATCTCTACGTTTTTGTTTTCTTTCTCTCTTGAGATCGAATCCATTTCAAGAATGCCGGTGAAATGTTCAGGAGCTTGGCTTCTACTTGTTAAAAAGATCAAATCTTGGTTCCCAAATGTTGTTTAATTGCGATATTGGCTGATTTGGAGGAACAAGGTTCGACTTTTCTTTGCTTCTTTCTTTGGAAAAAGATTAGGGTTTTATTGATCTAAGTTGATATGATGATAAAGGTGTGAATTTTGAAGGTTTGCATGAATATGGATTTTGGGTTTTGATGGTTTTTAACATGCTTAAAGAAATGGGTTTTGGTTATTTTTGAGTTTGATGAAGTTTACTGTGTGGTTTTGTTTTTTGGTTATTGTAAGATGAAGAGGGTAAAAAGTGAACTTTCCACTGGGAGGAGGTTCAAGTTGTCTCATTTCTTGTTGGGTTTAGGAGGGTTATACTTAATCTTCATAGCTTTTAAGTTTCCACATATTTTGGAGATAGCGGCAATTTTGAGTGGAGATGATACCTATGATGGATTGGGTGGGAAATTGGTTGGGGATGTTAATGATGCGGATTTGAGTAAAACATTGGTTAATTCTGTTTATAAAGATACGTATCACCGTAAATTAGAGGATAATCTAAACCAGGATGCGCCTTTGAGGCCTAGTAAGGAACCTTTGGAGGAAGGGAAAGGTGGAATACAGCCTATAAAGCCACTTCAGCATCGTTATGGTCGAATAACGGGTGAGATTATGCGGCGAATGAATAAAACTAGTGAATTGTCAGTGCTTGAGAGAATGGCGGATGAGGCTTGGACGTTGGGATTAAAGGCATGGGAAGAAGTGGATAAGTTTGATGGAAAGGAGATTGGACAGAGTTCTTTATTTGAAGGGAAGCCCGAGTCCTGTCCGTCATGGTTATCTGTAAGTGGAGAAGATTTGGCAAGTGGGGACAGGCTAATGTTCCTTCCATGTGGTCTCAAAGCAGGTTCATCAATTACACTTGTTGGTACACCTCGATATGCCCATCAGGAGTTCGTACCCCAGCTTGCTAAATTGAGGATTGGTGATGGTCTAGTGATGGTTTCACAATTTATGGTTGAATTGCAAGGGTTGAAGTCCGTGGATGGGGAGGATCCTCCAAAAATTTTACATTTAAATCCTCGATTGAAAGGAGATTGGAGCCACAAGCCAGTCATTGAGCACAACACATGCTATAGAATGCAATGGGGTACGGCTCAAAGATGTGATGGTTTACCATCCAAGGATGATGAAGACATGCTCGGTAAAATTTTATCAAGCATCAAGAGTTTTCATTTTGTTTCTCCTTTCCTTATTTATTTTCCACTTAAATTGTTAAATTCATTGTCCATTTATTTTTGGGGGAAATAAAAGAATTACCAAGTTTGTAAATATTTGAACATAAGCCATGTTATGCCAATTTTTTGTTTGTTGATAAATAAATTTGTTACTACATGGTCAAGAAACAAGTGCATGACAAAAACTTCTGAATTCTATTGGTCTATAGCATGCCTTCTATTCCCTTAATATATCAATGAGCAGCCCCTGGAATTATCTAGAAAGACTTCTGATTTTTGCTTAAATGATTTAATGGTATTTCTATAGAAGGATTATTGCTTATTAGGAGTATTAGAGGAAGGCATGTAAGCTGGTAATTTACATGGAAGTTGTTTCCAGTTGAAACACTTTGTTGTGCTTGTGTTCTCAAGTGATTACATGCTAGAAGAATATGAGGGAGGGACATGTTACATGTGTGGTATTTTGCATCTGGTGAGAGAGCTTCCATGTAGTATTTTTGTGGTTTTGTTCAAGTTTTGTCTTCTTTATTTGTTTGTGTGTTTGAGTTTTGAAAAATTCCTAGGAATTAATCAAGTACATATCCTTTTGGCAGTTGATGGACATCGAAGATGTGAAAAATGGATCCGGAACGATGTTGTAGACTTGAAAGAGTCCAAGACAACCTCTTGGTTCAAAAGGTTCATAGGACGAGAACAGAAACCAGAAGTTACCTGGCCATTTCCTTTTGCGGAAGGCAGACTATTTATCCTGACCCTGCGTGCCGGTGTTGATGGATACCATATTAATGTCGGGGGTCAACATGTGACTTCATTTCCATATCGTACGGTATGTTGCCTAATTTTAAGAGGTGATGTTTGTGCTTTCTGAAATCTCCATAAATACTCATGGTTCATAGCCTTGGAAACCTCACACTATGATTGCAAAAAAAACTGTTTTTTCAGGGTTTTTCACTTGAAGATGCAACAGGGCTGGCCATAAAAGGAGATGTGGATGTTCATTCAGTTTATGCAACCTCTCTTCCCGCCACTCATCCAAGTTTCTCTCCCCAAAGAGTATTGGAACTGTCACCAAAATGGAAAGCTTATCCCTTGCCTAGGAGATCTATCCAACTTTTTATTGGGGTTCTCTCTGCTACCAATCACTTTTCTGAACGCATGGCAGTTAGAAAAACTTGGATGCAATCTTCGGCCATCAAGTCTTTAAATGTGGTGGTCCGGTTCTTTGTTGCATTGGTAAGGTCATTTAACTTTCTTTAGAATTTAAGATCATGTTAAATACCCAAAGGTTATGCATGCAATTTGTTTCACAAATATCTACATGAGATTGTGGAAAAAAGTGTTGGTATGTCTGTTGTCCAGTGTGGCTTTTATCTATTCATATACTCTTTCTGGTTCTTAAGTGGCTTTCCTTCTTTGGATTCCTCTCTAGCCATCAATGCGTAGATTGTTTATATCACTTCTTTCTCTCTCTATTTATTTATGTAATAAATTGCAGAATCCAAGGAAGGAGGTGAATGCAGTTCTGAAGAAAGAGGCAGCTTATTTTGGTGATATTGTGATTTTGCCATTTATGGACCGCTATGAGCTTGTGGTTCTTAAAACTATTGCGATTTGTGAATTTGGGGTGAGTTCGGGGTGTATCCTTCCTTTATTTCCTTTCTCTGAAAGGTCATTCCAATCTTTTGACTCTTGTCCACGAATATTAGTTTTCTGGGCTGAATTTCTTTTAAAGGTTATTGTGATTCTCCATATTTTTTCCATGCAGGTGCAGAATGTGTCAGCTGCTTACATCATGAAATGTGATGATGACACATTTGTTAGAGTTGATACTGTCTTGAAAGAAATTGATGGCATCTCTCCCAAAAGGTCACTTTATATGGGCAATCTCAACCTCCTGCACCGGCCTTTGAGAAATGGAAAGTGGGCTGTCACTTATGAGGTATGCATACATAGATATGAGTTTTTGGACTTTTTGTGATTTTCTGTAATTATTTGTCTTCTCCATTTTAAAGGGACGTGTTCATTTTGTTTCCAACTTTCAGTTGCAAAATGCAAAGTTGTGTCTGAATTCTGATACCGTTAATGTTGGTGTGTAATCATAAGAAGCGACAAAATGATATTGCTTGCTGTGATAAAACATGTAATCTTAAAATGTCTTCACTATCAACTTTGTTGTGTTAGAAGCAATCTAAGTAGTTGAGAGTAAATAAACTCTTTGGGATGGATCTGTTGCTTCAAGAATTAATTTAAATGCTAGCATTCCTTAATGTCAACTTATTTCTCAAGGATTTATTGTCTGATATAACAGGAGTGGCCGGAAGAAGTTTATCCTCCCTATGCCAATGGACCTGGATATATTATTTCCAGTGATATTGCCAAATTTATCGTCTCACAACACGGCGACCGAAAATTAAGGGTTAGTTACTAAAAATTCTTATTTACTCCACTTTCTTTGAAGATTGTCTGCTTCTTTCCTTTTTAAAATTCCCCTTCTTTTCTTCCTATCTTGTTTCGTTTGGTTTTAAAAATATGTGTTGTCTTCCTATCTACCTCTTTGGTTTGATCAACTGCATTGTTTTTTATATATTGGTAGCTTTTCAAGATGGAGGATGTGAGTATGGGAATGTGGGTTGAACAATTTAACAGATCCAGGGCTGTCCAGTACTCCCACAACTGGAAGTTCTGTCAATATGGATGCATGGTAGACTATTATACCGCACATTACCAATCCCCTAGGCAGATGATTTGTCTTTGGGACAAGCTTTCGAGAGGTCTGGCACACTGCTGCAACTTCAGATGACAATGGACAACTCTTGCTTTCCACGTACACCTTAACTGCCTCGTAATTTCACCCCTTTCTCCCCCAATTTGATCCATTGAAGTGAGCTCTAGAGGGTTTAAGTGTCTTGTTACGGCCTTGTGTTACGAGATACAGATTGTTCTTCCTAAACTGTCCCATCTGTTAAGTAGGTCATTGACTTGGATTGGAAAAACAAGGCTAATTGTAGATTATATATGTATATTCTTATACGCATTATGATATTCAAGCCGCTGGAGCACTTAGGCAACAACAAGCCTTTCAAATTCCTAGTTCTCTTGGGTGCCAAAACTTTGTTTGATTACTTGTTTAGATTTTGTAGCTTTCTAATTTTGGTTTCTTTAACCTTTCCTGAATCCAGTTTCAATCTTCCTGTAATCTTAATAACAATCTCTTTTACCCCATTTAAAATTCCAAGAACATCATCTTTAAAAATTCCAATAGTACCAAGCAGGAAATTACTTAACAAAATTTTAGGGTGCTAAAAGCCAGATAATCGTAGACAAAGGTAGTGTATAACTACCAAGTAGCTTGGTAGGACAGCTTAATTTTCTTCTCTATTTATGTCGAAGTTTCAACCATTTGGTCCACTAAAAACCCAAGAAACTCGGGATTTAGGAAACTGAAAGTCAAAGTTGTTATTTCAATGTTTTCAAACACTTCACTTTTTCGGTTAAGTAGTGTTTCCTAGCCTCACTTCTGTCCCAACAAGAAGTTGGGTTTTGAATTCTTTAGTTTCCATTGTTCTTGCATCATATATTTTCTTCCATAAATCAATGCTGCTGCTAACCAGCTAGCCGACGTTTTTGTCTTTTGGGAGTAAATAAGTTGCAGAAAAGCCGTGCGCAATAGAAAATTCAATTTGAATATGGTTGTCTTGTTTTCCCACTTATTTTGGTTTTAGTTTTGGAAAGACACTGTTTAAAGCAGAATGTCATTTTGCTACTTTTTATGTTGCTTTTGATTTTTTTTAAATAATACAAAATATATTTATTTGATGCTCACTAGCTATTATTCTCCTTTTTGATAGCATAATATTAAAAAAAAAAAAGCTGAGAATATTTAATATTCAGTTACTTCCATAAAATGGAAAGATTTATCATAATGTATACTATCAACAAAGAAAATTTTGCTTTTGGAAGTTGAAGGATTCTGCTTAATGCTTTAGTCCAAATTTTTTGCTTTTATCCTTTCAGAAATAGCCAAAGGCAACTACTATTACTGTCTATTGCATTTTTCCTCTCTATATGCAGTAAGAAATCATTAGTTCTTAGTTGTTAATTAAGAAGAAAACAGTAAACGACAGCCTAAGAAGAACATATTAACTAACCAAATGTAAAATTTGTTGATATAATTTCCCATATAATGATTGAGGAATTTATTAAAATTTAACTCAAGAAACCGTGTCATGATGGCAAATGGAGACGACAGAAGAGCTTGTGGACACAATCTTATGCATTGCATGACACAAAATTATTGCTAACAAGTAAGCATTTGATTTGTGGAAAGCAATGATTTATGTTCTGTCGAATGTGATGAGTGTGGATGGGATCGAAAAGCCTTGGCCCAAGGTGGTTCTTTAACAACAGGTTGCCTTCAAGCCAAGTATCATAATTTGCCGACTCCACAACTACTCAGCTGAAAAGTTTCTTTCCTTGAATATACGTGTGTATTACGGTTTCAAATGCTAACTAAAATGGGAATTGAAGAAACAAAATAAAATACCTAATGAAACACTTAGCAACAAAGAGTACCCTAATGCATTCCAAAATAAACCTCACGAAAAATTAAAGATTTAAATTAATTAATTTATATAATTATTCTTAAAAAGTAACAATTAATAAATTTAAAATTCAAAAATCAACCCTTTCAATTTATTTTTTTATAAATAAATAAATAAACCCATGGACATAGAAATTTGGTTTCACATTAACATTATTGCTAATCTTTTTTTGCATTTAATTTGACGAAATGATTTGCAGATCATGACTTTCAACTAACAGTAGTTGTTCCCTGTTTTTTTGTTGATAGCATTTAATTGTATCAAGAATTTTACTCTATCAATTTCAGTTCATTCTTCTTTTGGGTTAAATTAAGGAACATAGCTAACCTAAAAAATAATTTGGTTGCCTTTTTTTACTCAATTATTCTTTAGAAGAAAAGTAGGTATACATGATTATATGTGCTAATATGTATACTAATATTTACTTATTAATTAATCGTAATTTTTTAAAAAAATTTTAAACTTAAAATTAACTTGAGTTTTTTTTTAAAATGATAAAATAAAAATTTTAGTTGCTAATAATAGCCACTTAGAATTGTTTTATATATACTACAAATATTTTTTAGAGTCATTGCTGAAGTCTTTGCTTTAATTGGGATCACAAGTAAAGGGGCAAATTCTTCCTCCGTTTGCCTTCTCCTCGAAGCAATTATCATATATGATATTTAATAGTAATATTTATTTTTTGTAAGAATTATAAATTCATTTTTTTTTTTTTTAAGGAGAGGATTATTTCCACTCCCTAGTCCTTTCCTTTTCATCAACTATCATTCTTAACTCATACACATAAGCTGCTCAGCACATGTAGGTGGTCCCCGCATTTCCAATCTGGCCCGCCACGTACCAATCTTCGAGCGACTCTTCTCATCAGGAAAACTTTCCATAAGCTCTGGTCCCACCTTTACCTTTATCTTCGAGCTAAGACTGTCAAAAAAAATCTCGATCAGACTGTCGGCAACGCAGGATGTTGCCACGTGTCAAAGCAGATAAGAATACTGTGCCCTCTTTTCGGTCCACGTGTCTTTTTCAAGTTAGTGAAGAAAACTGTCTCCACTCGAAGAGAGTAAATCCAGACTCTGCACTCGCTGTTCGATGACGTTGATTGGATAGGGATTGAGCCGATATAGATATAACACGCGTAAGTTTCACACAGAGGGTAGCTTTCGTCTCAAGTTGGGTTCATTTATTATGGATAATAAAATAAGATATTTTTTTTAACTTTTTAAACATGTGGGGACAAAAATTAAAGTGAGGTGGGAAATTCTGAGTCACAGATTTTTTCGGACAAGGTACTCTTTTATTTCTGATGCGAACGGACAAAAACAGGCTTTTGGATTCTTCAGAGCACTTTTTTTTTTTAATTAACTTTATTGAAAAAAATTTGAACCCTTCCATTTATAGAAAAAAAAACAGTTTCCATTTGTAATTTTTCAGATTTGATAATTAATATGTTTATTTGTTTTGTATCATATATATAAATATAAAATAATAAAAATTATTATATTATTTTTATCAAATTTAGATATATAATTTTATCAAAATTTTAAATTATATCATTTTTATATTTTTTGTTATTTTATATTTAATTTTTATATTATATTAAAAATTATGAGATCTATACCTTTTAAGATAGTTTGAATTAGATATGAAACTTTTATGAGGCATTTTAATTAAGATTAGAATCTCTAAATAACTTAAAAAACTTCATCGCATTTTCCCTATTAAATTCCCAATTGGATGGTTTATATTATTAGTTTTATTTATTTATTTATAAAAAAGAATTTGTTTGTATCCAAGATTTGATGTTGATTAGTAAATATAAATCTCTAAGATTGGCTTAATTTGTCACGCCGCATATTTTAGATTATAAACATGAATTTCATTTTGGCCTTCCAAAAATTTTCCTAAATGCATTGTGTTTTTTTTCAATATGAAAACAATGAAAAAAAAAAAAATGTTGGAACTAAAAGTCAAAGGATCTCAAATTTTTTTACTTTTTTTTGTGCGTCTTACCGACATATTTGCCCACATGAAAGCAACATAAGTAGAAAAACCAAGCGTTTTCAGTTATAGTTCAAGACTTGTAGGAACAAAAAAATGGCGGTCGAAGTGTTTTTTACAGTTTACGAAAACATGGAAGATGGAACAGAACAGAAAAATGAAAACATGCCCCACAAAAAGACAGCTAATCCAAACACCGCTTCTTTGGCCGATATTTTCCATTAAAACTTTGGCTATCGTAACCACCCACCAAATCAATCAATGTCAAAATTCAATTTTTTTTTGGTTATAAATCCTTTCCTCTTTCGTTGTCTCTCTCTTTTTTAACGGTTACACTACTACATTTCTTTGTTCTTCCCTATTCACATAGCAGAGTGAGAGAAACAGAGAGGAAACAGAAGATTTATAAAGGAAAGAAGCTCTTTGTTTATGTTTTAGGCAAAAAACCCAGATGGATTTTAGCTCCTTTTTGACGTCCTTAGGGACGTCTTTTATAATATTCGTAGTTTTGATGCTGCTCTTTGCTTGGCTTTCGACAAGGGAAGGGAACGCGGTGGTGTATTATCCAAACCGGATGTTGAAAGGTTTAGAACCGTGGGAAGGCGGTTCAAGGACACGAAACCCTTTGGCTTGGATAAGGGAAGCCTTGTCTTCTACTGAACAAGATGTTATCAACATGTCTGGGATTGACACTGCCGTCTACTTTGTGTTCTTGAGCACTGGTTTTTGTCTCTATCTTTTTGTCTCCTTTAAGTTTTCCAGACGCGTCTATCTTATGTACAAATGTTGTTTTTTCAGTTTTTGTTTTTGTCTGATTCTGTCTTTTTTTTTTTTCCCTTCCCTTTCTTTCTTTCTTTTCATCTTGGGTTTGAGATCTGTTTCTGTTCCTTTAATGATGTTTAGTTCAGGACTTTTTTTTTTTTTTGGGGGGGGGGGGGGGGGGGGGTTTTACGTTGATTGATTTGATTTCTGGATTTGTTTAGGCTTCAAAATTAGCTTTTTCATGTTTTGGTTTTAATTAGGGTTATAATTTTTTTTTTTTTTGGTTTGTTGTGTTTTGGGGCAATTTTCATATTTGATTTGCTTCTAAAGTTTGAAAGTTTCTTTTTTTTTTTTTGGATTTTTTGTAGTAAATCTTATTTTGACTTCTCTGTTTCTAACTTTCTATTTCTGGATAGTTTTGTACTCTATTCTAATGAGATTCCTGTTGTCCTCTTTGTTGTTAGTCAAATATACTTTTAATAATCTGAATTGTCATATTAGAAATTGTGTTAGGCTACCTTCACAAAGGTTTTGATTAGTTTAAACTTTTGGGTTGACAGCCTGATAGCTTATAAAAACAACTAAATCAGTGCAGAGAACATCTGGCTACTGATCAAATAGCTGGTAAAATAATTCATGTGTTTATAAGCAAAAGTACAATTCAATCACTATCCTCTAGTACTTGTTTCTAATTTACTCCTTATTGAAACATTCAAGAGTTTTATTGATGCTTATGACTCATACCTGAAATTTGATGGGGTAGTGGGACTCATTTTCTTTCCAATTATGGTAAGGAAATGTAGGATCTCTGTTGTTCAGGCTAATAAATCTGGATATATGAGGTTTTTTGGTTGATTAATGAAGTTGATCAAATTAATGTTTCTCAGCGATGAAAGCCAAGAAAATTTTCTCATTTTCTAGGCATGATTTCTTTTGTTTCTTTAGTCTATGTGGTTGTGGAAAGATAATTCTACATTATGAAATGTCAAACAGTTGTTGCCTTTAGATTCTGATTGTTGCTTGGCTTGATGTAAGGAAGAAAATGTTTACTTAAATGCTGAAAAGTATCATCTTGGTGTTTAATTTTCGGTCTGAATTTGCATGACTTATTGAAACCAAGTGTCTGAAGGACAATAATATGCTAGAGAGTGGTTCTAAGATACATTCAATGTAAAATTTTGAGGGTAAAAGTTGACGGATTCTGAAATTTTTTTTTCCTGATAAATGTGCCAGTATTAGGGATATTGGTTCTGTTTGGCATTGTATTGCTTCCAGTTCTTCTACCCGTTGCTGCAACTGGTGATGGTATAAAGAAAAATACAAAGAGTACTACAAGCAACGGGACTTTCAATGACCTAGACAAGTTGTCAATGGCAAATATTGAAGTAAGATATATATCATTCTCACGAACTGGAAAAAACTGGTCTTTTCGTATTTCTGTGCTTGTGGTTTATGATATGATTCAGATTTCCAAAAGAAAAAAAAGTAAAGAAAAGAGGTCAAATATTTTTGTACTTGTATAAATATACTTTACTGATAATCTAGAACTGCTGTAAATGAATTTTTTATTGTGTTTTCCTACCATATGATACAACCTTCTAACTGTATTTTGATGTACAAGTCCGTTTCTTGTTGTCTATACAGGAGCAGAGTCCAAGGTTGTGGGCATTCCTGATAGCCATCTATTGGGTCTCTGTTGTCACCTTTTTCCTTTCATGGAAGGCTTACGAACATGTTTCTGCACTAAGAGCTAATGCTTTAATGTCTCCTGAAGTGAAACCTGAGCAATTTGCTGTTCTTGTTAGAGACTTGCCAAATGTCAATCCGGGTCAAACTAGAAAGGAGCAGGTTGATTCATATTTTAAATCTATCTATCCTGAGACATTCTACAGATCAATGGTGGTTACAAACAACAAAGAGGTAACTTTGTAATTTGCATCTCTATTTTGCGGTTTATCCTTGCTTTTCTATCACTAATTCAGTTATCTGGACTAAAGCAAACATCTTGTTTTTAATCTAGGTTGACAAAATCTGGGGAGAGTTGGAAGGATACAAAAAGAAGCTTACACGTGCTGAAGCAATATATGCTGAGTCCAGCGGCTCAGAAGGGACAAAACCAACCCACAAAACTGGCTTCCTTGGTCTCTGTGGTAAAAAGGTTGACAGCATAGACTACTATAATGAAAAGATCAAAGAACTGACACAAAAATTGGAAGCTGAGCAAAAGGTGACCCTCCGAGAAAAGCAGCTAGGATCTGCTTTGGTTTTCTTTAACAACAGGGTAACTGCAGCCTTGGCTGCTCAAAGCCTACATGCCCAGATGGTTGACAGATGGACAGCTACGGAAGCACCTGAACCTCGCCAACTTATATGGAGCAATCTGAGTATCAAGTTTTTTGAAAGGATAATACGACAATATATTATTTACTTTGTTGTGTTTCTGACTATAGTTTTTTATATGATTCCAATTGGTTTTATTTCTGCACTCACAACCCTCAAGAATCTAAGAAAACTTCTCCCATTCCTGAAGCCCATTGTTGATATGGACGCAATTAAGACAGTATTGGAAGCATATCTTCCCCAGCTTGCGCTCATTATATTTTTGGCATTACTACCGAAGTTTCTTTTGTTTCTCTCTAAGACTGAGGGAATTCCTTCCGGGAGCCATGTAATAAGGGCTGCATCTGGGAAATATTTTTATTTTACTGTGTTGAATGTTTTCATTGGTGTTACTATTGGTGGAACTTTGTTCAGTTCGTTGAAGACCATTGAGAAGAATCCTAACTCTGTTGTTTCCTTGCTGGCAAAAAGCCTCCCAGGCAATGCAACTTTCTTCCTCACTTTTGTGGCTCTAAAGTAAGCTTCAACCTCTTATTATTGCAATTGCTATAATACCTACTTCTTTGTTTTAGGAATAAGTGTTTTACCGGCTTCATTTAAAGGATAGAGTTTTCTTGAAATTAGTTGGAAAATAACTGGATTTGTGCTTTTTGTGACCTCTTATGTCCAAGTTATAGTCTATATATTGACGCAAAATTCATCTTCTCTTCTTGCATTTCAATTCCTTTATCATTTTACAACAGCATTTAAATGTTTGAGGTGTCAATTCTCTTCTTAGCTGACTTTAAACAAAAGTAAAATGATTCTATGAGTTTTAGTAGGTTATGATTACCACCTTTCATAATTTTGGTTCGCAGGTTCTTTGTCGGCTATGGGCTTGAGCTTTCTCGAATAGTTCCTCTAATCATATATCATCTGAAGAGGAAATATCTATGCAAGACTGAAGCCGAGTTAAAAGAAGCTTGGTTTCCTGGAGATATTAGCTATGCCACTAGAGTTCCTAGTGACATGCTCATCATAACCATTGTTCTCTGCTACTCAGTTATAGCTCCTGTGATCATCCCATTTGGAGTGCTTTACTTTGCCTTGGGTTGGCTTATTCTCCGGAATCAGGTATTTCTCTCACTTTCTTAGCAATTATTATTCTTACAATTCAAATTTAGTTTCATGTTTAAAAAACTGAGCAATGCTACTTCTCTCAACTCTCCCCAATCAGAAAACCCCCACGTAAAAATATATTGCTTTCTTTCCCAAAAGGAAAATCCATATAAAATGCGCAATCCTCAGTGAACTATTAAAGTTGTGAGAGATGTGAGTTGTTCTGTAAGAACTAAAGATGATATGCATCAAAGGAAAAGACTGAAGAAAAGTTTTTATATTTGGTAAGTGGTTACTTTCTTTATTTATCGGTTGTATGCCCTCCTATAACAGGCACTTAAAGTTTATGTTCCAGCATATGAGAGCTATGGAAGAATGTGGCCTCACATGCAAACACGAATCATTGGTGCCTTGCTGTTATACCAAGTTACTATGTTGGGTTACTTTGGGGTGATGAAATTCTATTACACTCCCATCCTAATTCCGTTACCCCTATTGTCTCTACTCTTCTTCTATGTCTGTAGAAAGAAATTCTACAAGGCTTTTTGTCACACTGCTCTTGAAGTTGTTAGCCAAGAACTGAAGGAAACTCCTCAGATGGATCAGATATTCAAATCCTTTATCCCGCCGAGCTTGATTTCTGAGAAGGGAGAAGATGAACAGTTTGAAGATGCTTTATCTGAAGTTTCCAGAACAGGCTCATATGTTTGATGGACATTTTTTTTGTATTTCTACTATGATGTCGTGCTAGTGTCTCAAATCACATGTCCTGAAACTTAGATTGTCTGTTGATAATATGCTTTAGGGAACCATGCGGTTAGGTTGTGTGTTTGTAACATAATGATTTCCTTTGGATCGTTAGCTTGGATTTCTTTCAATTCCTGTTCAATGATAATGCAAGTTTGGATGGAGGATGGTCACTTTATTCAGCTTGCATGGGCTCAAATTGCAACCCCTATACTGCAATTTTACCAGCTTTCCTCCATTTTCATTCACTATTTAGTATTTAGTCAAGAATCTTCAAAGATCATTCATCGAATTCGATCCTCATCTAATCACAATTTTATATTGATTAAAGGTATATATCTGATTCTTCTCTGATGGACAGGAAAAGAAAAGACGTCTGATATCATCTTAATCACTAGGATACTAACATATGATGTTGAATTCAACAATTCTTCTTAGTTAAAAGACGTTAAAAATGAAAAACAAGTCAACAACGTGAATTTCTTACAAGTGGATGGCAGCTTTCTGCGTGGAGGTTTGGATCTGAAAATCTGAATCAAAGAAGTTTCGCCCCAAATCCCAAACCTTATTTTGATCTGCTACGTTTATTGCTTCATTGATGAATTCTTCATATGGCTAGACGCAAGATTTTACCTTTTCCTCCAATAAACTTCTCAAACACATGCAATGTTCAACAAAAACGAGTAATGAAATTTTCTTTCTTTTTGTCCGAAAAACATGTTTTTTCAAAGTAATAAAAGAGTTGAGCTTTGGCCTATGCAAGGTAATCTTAACAAGTTTATATGAAACTTGAACAATGAAGCTTAAATATGGTTTAAAATTCATTACCTAGATATGATCCTATTTATCGAAATTATTCACATATGAGTAAAAAATTTTATATTATTAAAAAATAAAATTAAGATATCTAATATACACATAATGGATTAAAAAATTCAATAATTTAAACTTTTGGGTTGAAATGGTATACAATATATATGTATAAATATTTTGGTGTGCTCCTGTGAACTTCAAATGTGATAAATCTCTCAATAATTGGTATCAAAACCAAGCTCACGGGTTCGGGAGAGATTGTTTGTAAATCAACTCCATGTGCTCGAATGCTAGTGTCAAAGTAAAATGTTCAACTTGAATTCAGTGAACATATGATAATATGTAGAAAGGTAACACTTAAATAAAAAATGTATTGAATCAACTTGAAGTGCATGATAATATATAAAAACAAAACACTTAAATAAGCGATGTATTGAGTCAACCTTGAGTCCAAATTTGAAGTAGTATTGAGACAACTTAGATGATAAGATTGAGTATTGTGATCGGACTTAAAAGTACATTAAAAATGTGAAGAGGTTGCCGGGCCCAAAAAAAAATGTTGATAGAGGATTTCACTTGTACAAAAAAATCGAGGTGCTCTCAAGTAAATAAAAAAAATTGTTGAGATAATTCACACGTAAATAAATAATTACATATTACCAAAAAATAAGATTAAAATATCCAATATATACATAAAAACTCAAAAACCCAATAAATTAAGTTTTACGGCTAAATAATGAGCTTTCTGACGTGTTCCGTGGCCTCAAAATCAAATCTCCCAACATTCTTGTTTTACTCAAATACTGTGAAATCGAAATGTAACTAAAGTACTAAAAAATTGAATATTTTGTGGAACAAGATGACAAAGCAAAACCTCAATGTTGAAGAGCTTTTACGGATCAGATGTTGAACAAATAAATGAATCTTATATGAATTATCAACAGAAAAAAAGGAAAAAAGAAAACACTAAAAATTGGACTCTACATTCATTTTTTTTAATGGGCATCTTTCTCAAATCAACATTTGTCTAAAACTAAGGGTACTCATTGTTGGATCCAATGCTAAGTGGAGAAGGAATGTGTTCAGGTTGTCTCCCTGGTTTAACCCATCTACCATATTTGTTCAGAACAAGTCCCTTGAATGGCTTTTCGTACCAAAACTCTGGGATCCTTAATTCCTTTATCAACATATCAGTTGTCTTGTTCACCAAGGCAACATCTCTTCTTGCATTCCAATGAAACTTTGATGTCTTGCTAATGTATCCATCTAACAGATGGAGGTAAGTCTCCAAATTATGAGACCCTGTATAATCAGGATCACGCCTTAAATAGGGTGACATGTGCGCATCAAGCTTCAATTGTGTTCCGACGTGCCTGAAAATCCATTTCAATCTTCCAGTAACTGTTGTAAACTTGTTAAGAATGGTGTTAAGTATAAATCCTGGCAATTTTGGGACTATATCTTGCTTAACAACAACCCTTAGTGTCTTGACTCCCAGTTCGTTGAGCTTCTCCTTGAAATGTATGTTTCCAACTCTCGGTGCACCGAAAGTGATGACACTAATGAGGAGGTCAGGGAAGTAAGTTGCAGCGTCATAGGCGTTGAGGAGTGCCAAGGCACCGCCAAGGCTATGGCCACAGAGTGTCAAGCTTACTTCCTCGCCTGTGTCTCTGAAAAATTTAACAAGCCTTCTGATTTCTTCCATGACTTGTTCAGATGCACTCAGCTTGTTGTACCTTGTATACTCACCCTTGGAACTGTAGATGCTAAGGAATCCAAGTTGGACCTTGATATTGGTTTTTCCAAGAGGCTTCAGACTTGTTTTGAGGTCAGTGCACCACTCGGTTGGAGCCACCGTGCCCCGCCATGCCACCAGGATGTCTCTCCTCCCAATTCTTGAGGTTTCGGCATCATCACTGACTGCAACGTATCCCATCCAGTTGGAATCCTTGCTCCAAGTACGATAAGACCTCTCGAACCATTCAGGAACATCGACATGGGACATGGCGTAAATGTACTTGGTAACCTTGTAAACATGTTTAGTAAGGCCTAGTTCGTCAAAGAGTTTGTGCCGATTGTATCTACAGCTTCCACAAAACTCTGATAAAGGATCAAAGTCAAAAGCATCGTAAGTGGCTTCAACGAATTCTCCATACTTGACAATCTCACGCCTAAGCCAAGGGTGGAGAGGCTCAATGAGACCATCCCAATTGTGCAAACCATGAAGCTCACGCCATCGTGTGGATATATTCTCCATTGGGGACTTTGTAGGAGTCATAACATCACCTCGGTCGATGAAATCTGCTGCTGTACAAGGCAATTGAATGAGTTGCCCTAACGGCATCGTGGGACGAAATGTCTTTTTCTTTTTCATTAAATGTCGAATTGGCCTAATGACAGCCAGATCATGATTATGAAATTTCAGAGTTGAAAGTCTGTCCAAATTTGAAGCCAGCTGAAGATGAAAGCGATGTCTCAGAGTGGATTTCAAGGCTTTTTTGATACGCTGCCAAGTAACATTAAGCTTCAATTTCCATACCCTTCCGGTTTTAGGCTTTTCTGTTTTCTGCCTCGTGACATTTCTCAATGGTGACAATTGCATTTTCTCCATAGAAGGGGCTCAAATAAAAAGCTTGTAATGTCTGCAATTAAAAGAACTGAAAACAATATGTTTCCTTTCTTCCTTTTTTGGTGAATGAAAATTTATGTTCGATCGATGTAGATATCAAATGCCATGGAATTGAATTGTTTAAATACTGATTCTGATTCAGAGAACGGAACTTTTCAAAGTACACGTTTGGAACAAACAGCAATAATTTCTTCTAGGAACCTTCTAAGTTCCAAGCCATCGAAATCTCCATGGTCAATTATTAGACTTAGTTTTCTTCTCCTATTCCTCACAAGTCTATTGGAGACTGAATCAAACAATAAAAATTTATACAAGTCCTTAACATTTATCGTTAAGGGGTTAACCTTATAAGAGCTGTGGCTGCTAACCCTTGTTCAAGAAAAGAGATATAATTGGTGAATGTCAGTATCTCACCAATGGCAGCTAACCTCATTCTCCAAATTTCTACTTTTCGGGTTGCTTGGGTCAATTATAAGAACTGTTGCCCCGGTTAATATTATTAAAATATTTAACCTCATGCTAAAAAAGAAAGTGTCTGGTCGTCTAATTCCAAGTTGGCCATATTCAAGAAGTAGGAATTTATTCTGCTTATGCATGCTTGGGACCTTGTCTTCTGAAGCAGCCTCAACTGACCATAGGTACGGTATGGACCAAGTCAAGTTTGTTAATGTTAAATTTTTTACAGTATTTTTCAGTTTTACTGACATGAGATCTCGATACGTGGAATTTCGTCGGCCTTGGGGTTTGTCATTTAAGGGACTCTAACTAGCTAGTATTTGGCATTCATTAATTAAGTACCATTTTGTAGTTAAAAAAAATCAATTACTATTAGATGCTTTGTTAAAGAGTATTAATGTTAAGAGGTCCAGATATAGAAATTGGGGTATGTTACTTAATAGTTTTTCATGTTAACCAAAAATGGGTTATTTATAAAAAAAATCATTGTTTAGAAATAAAAAAATTATAAATGATATAATTTAAAAATTAAAATTATTATGTCACATTTTATGAATGATTATAAAAATTAATTGAATTAAATTATAAATTAATAAAAAAAAGTAATGCTCATTTTCAAATCAATGATTTACTATATTTCTCATTGTGCTACTAGTACCTTAGATTCTATGGAGATATGACGAAAGAGAGTTGAATTTAATATATTTATTAAAAGTTTGCATTTATTGATAGATATAAGTCAAGTGATATTTGGTATGAAAACTTGGAGCTTGAAATTAGAAGTTTGATAATGACATGGCTCACTAACCCAAGACTTCATTAAAAGAGTCGTTTCATGTTGCATGCATCTGGATCCACAAAAAAAAAAAAAAAAAAAAGCATTCCTTTGAAAACACGATTTCTTCTCCTAGCCCCACCCATCCGTTTTCTAAAGAAGAGAACTGGGGGACACTTAGAAGTCGGCCGACAACTGGTTTAGGTGTGTCGTATCCTTATCCTGCTCCTCCCAGCCCAGGGATATCATCTGTAAAAGTTAGCAGACCATGCGTTAAAGGTAAAACCTTTATTTGTATAAGGGAAATTATTATAAGGAAAAGAAGAAATCTAGCAATGCATCATTCATGTTTAGATACTGACTTAATAATTAATAAATTTTTTATACAAATAATATCTCAGTATAAGAATAAGAAAATAAATTATAAATATTAAAATTTAAATTTCAAATATATTAAATGTTATTTTTTAAAAATAATTATATAAATATATTAAATTAAATTTTTACCTCACATTAAAAAAATTTTGCATGCAAGAGAGATAAGTGTGCATGAAATTATTTTTACTTCCAAAGCGAATACAACAAACACGAAAAATCAATATCACGCGTTTAATGTCAGCTTCTACCCCAAAATTTGCTCTTTCTAAGTTCCTTTTGCCTACCTTTCCTCCAATTAAGTATTAGCCATTGGCTCCCTTTGACCACATAAAAAATAAGAGTCAACATTTTAATAAGTCAAGTTTGAACATTTTTACTATTTCATTATTTCCAAGTTTCAAATTCCAAGCTTATGTCAGCGTCAGTGTTAGAACTTAGAAACTGCGAACTGCCATATAATATATATGTATAAATAAATAAATAATTAATAAATAATTATATATATATATATTATATCCTCCGATTATACGATTCCTCTTGCAATTGTAACCGTATTAGTCTCCGCAAGCATCAAACTTAGATTTGCTAAGTGTTGGTGTCAAGTTTCGACTTAAAGGTACTCTTGTAAATATATAAAAAAAAAACAGTTAGAAATAAAAGTAGATAGTGTTCTTTGCATTTATATTTCAATGCGTAAGTCAGTAAAAATAAAATTGACAAAAAATAAGAAAAAAAGAGAAAAGTGAGTAAGATGAACCTACTTTCATGATGTGTGAGTTTTCATATTTATAGGTAAGCTGAAGGGGATCATAAAGAAATAATTAGGATAAGATTGAGCTAAGGTAGCACTAACTATGTCAAGTCAGGTCGACACAAATAACAAATATGCTCCTAGTTGTTTACTGAAGGTTTTGAAAGGGAAAAAAAACCATTATACCGTTTTGATCATCAAATACCCTTAACATTCTATCCTTTCATTAGGCGGCTAAGTATCAGATCATTAAATTTATTATCGAAGTCCCTTGTGTGGGATAGATTAGCTAAAGGAACAAATTAGTAGGTTGGCTTGTTGAAGGCCAGTATTGTAGGGGGGAGGTCAGTTTTGGATGATGACTAGCTTTACGTCACGGTCTGACTTGACTGTTATCCAATCTTACGCGTGTGTTTTGGATTGAATGCATAATAGGTTTAAAGGTTGTTGAGATGATAATTGTTTGGGGTGATTTGAGATCAGTGCTGGAATACGTTTGGCTATTGTGAGACTTGTATTTTCTTTCAAAAATTTAGATTTGAGCCTCTATTTTGGACCTTAAAAGTGAATTGGGCTCTCGATTTACCCCTGATGGCTATCCAATTTAGATGGCTCGTTATAGGGTTCATTTAGTTGGCCGATCTGATAGTTTTAAATGAGGAAAGAAGTCGTTTGAGTGAGAAAATTTAAAGCAAAAAGATGAAAAAACATCTACCTGCTCATGCTTTGACATGTGGCGTGAAACGTGTCCTCTATTTGGTTTGCAATGCTTATATATAAAGGGCTGGTAAGTCTTCAGCTTTCCATCTTTTGCTTTCTTCGCTCTCAATCAGACTTAAAATTTTCGATCTCAACAGCTTTTCAGCCTTTAAAGTTTTTTTTACACCCACTTTTATATGTATTTTTAATTATGTCCTCTAGTATGAGTTTTGGAGAGGCTAAGAGTTATAAGGTAAAGGCAATGGGAGGTTAGTGAGGATAATAGGATGACGACCTGATTCTCTCTATTATTAGGGGCCATAACTATGCAAAGACGACTTATTGGTTTAACTCGATGTCCAAGAAAAGATAGCGATGCAATGAAAAGAATGCTCAAGTAAGAGGCGAGCAAGTTTTAAGCATGGAAGAGCTATGTGCTCAAATCGACTTCAAACTTCAACATCCACTTGCTTTTTTCGTCTCTTAGGTCGGTCTATCTTCTATGGCCAACCTTTTTTCCTCTTCGACCATTCTTCTTTTTGGGGTTTGATCTCCTTACCTCCTGCCACTTCTACTCTCTCCCTCAATCAATTTTTTTGGACATATTGTCATCTCTTAAGGGGTTTTCACCTTGTCTTTCTTTCTCAAAGATTGAGCTACTTTCATCCACTACTTTTTCTCTGGATTTTACTCTCACCCAAATGTCAAATTTTTTTGACAAAGAGGTTTCGAGAAAGAACAAAAAAAAAAGGAGCACCTTGATCGAAAAAAGTATCGACGAGGGAGAGAGTTTTGTAAAGCAAGATGAACTTGTTGAGGTCCCTATATATACTCCGTGTGACCTCGGTGTGATATCTAAGGATGTGATGAATGAGCTAGAGGGTAGGGTAAATATAGAAGATTGTCTTAACATATGCTGGGCATATCATGTTCGTGTTTTGGTACCACTTTTTTTTCAGAGAGGGATATAGTATAATAACACTGAACTTCTTAGACTGGATTACTAATAGACTCAAGCCACATCGGCTCTACGTATATTAGGATTCGTTCGTGATCGGTTTGAGATTTTTACTTCATCCTTTTTTTATTTTAATTTTTAATTTTTACAATTTGACCATCACTCAGTTCACCCAAAATTTTATTCGGTACATAGTCGCTTTTATTATTCTTTGTCAACAACTAAATATTCTTCCTTCTCTCTATTTATTTAGGGAGTTCTTCGCTCTTAAAAAAATCTTAATGACAACAAATGTTTTTATATCACAGCTCAGTTAAATAAAACATTTCTTACCAATTGTTCGAGCTCAATAAAGAATTAAAAGTTGCTCTTTCTATACCTCAAAAAGTGAAAGGCAAATAAAGATGATGAGCCCAAGATTGAGGCCTGTGAAATAAGGAGTACACCCGACTCCTTTATGGATGTATCGATGGCTCTCTCCATCCTTGATCTGTTAGATCGGGATAAAATTTTAAATTTTACACGTAAGGGGAGCTCATCATCGATGCCCATAAGCTAACCTCCCCGAAAATGATAAACGAGACAAAGTATTAGATATGTTTGAGGTAACCTTGTAGGGTTTTGTTTTAAGTTAATTTTTTATCTAATTGTTAGCTTGATTTTGTAGAGATGTCTAATAGCGACAATTTCGATGTCTCATTGTACCAACACACCTTGAGGCCCAAAAAAAAAAAGATCCAACTCGAGGCCCCGTCCCATAGGAGAAACAAGGTGGTCAACACCTTTATGCCCCACACCCCCCTAAGTTGGAAGTTGAAAGCTAAAGGTAGGTCAAGACCTGTCTTCTACATCAACACTGACATCACCCCTTCTAGCTAAAAGATTATAGGTGGCGACCTTTTCCTCTACTCTTAAGAACTCTGAGGCTAGGATGTTAAGGTCTAGCTTGAAAAAAATATTCGTAAGATTAGACTATACTCCAATAGATAACCCCATCTCTAACTTCGACATTGCCAAAAGATTCTGTAAGGTCGTGGTTTCTTCTCTTAGTAAGTATCTC